TTGGGTAAGACAATCGCTAGTTGTATACCACTTATTGGTTTCTCTCAAATTTCTTCGTCGGATTTTTTTGATAAGGTTTGGCCGTTTAGATGTATTTTGCCTCCGGATATTTTGGAAGATATTATGAGGTATCATTTGAAACCTGCTTGTCCTCCACAACCTGTTGTGTTAGCCCGAAGATTGCAATTTGATTCCGCGCTTATTAGACCTTGTCATGCTGCTTTGTTGGCAAGTTGGATTGATCGTCTTGGTCAAAAACGTTATCTTTATGATGAAATTCCATATCGTTTCCAATTACTTGTTAGAGGATCGAGAGATGGTTTTGATTCTGGCACTTTTCATGATAAATGTGATGAAAAAGGTAGAACTATAGTGGTAATGAAAATTCACGGCACTGGTGAAATTATAGGTGGTTATAGCCCAATTATGTGGATGGCTGGCGATGGTTATTGGAATACTGAAGATAGTTTTCTGTTTACTTTTGGAGATAGAGGTATGGTTGAAGATGCAAAATTGAGTCGTGTGTCAAGACAAAGATCTTATTATGCTATTCGATTCAATGGAAGAAGTTATGGCCCATGTTTTGGTGACAAAGATCTTTCTATGAAAGATAATTTCAATTTAGAAGGAAGTTGTTCGTGTCAAAAAGATGACTATTTAGATAGTGTTACCGATTCTACTACTTTTTCGGTAAATGAGTATGAAGTTTTTCGTATTTGCAAAAAGTAATTATATATTTACACTATTTTTGATAATTTTAATTATATACTATTACAACCATTTTCCTCAAAAACTTTATCGTTAATCATTAAATTTTAAACATTACATTGGATAATAAAGAACAATATCTATTTATAACTTCAACTTATTAGAAAACGATTGCATATAGTATAATTATTATAACTATTATCAAACATTTAACATTCACATCTCTAGATAGGGACGAAATTATTAATTTCTACATTCTTCGGTAGAAATTATTGAAGTAATTTCACCAAGCATTTCACAATTTAAACATTGAATCAAATTTCAAACATTCAAAACTGTAATGTTAATATAGATTTAATTACCTAGATTAATAAATTGATTTCTGTAAATTAATATTATTTATTATTGGGTGAATTCAAGTCTGGATTTATTATCCGTATGATACATATGTTGTGAGAATGGAATCTAAGTGGATTTGGAATTTCCTAGTTAAATTAGGGTTAGGGTTATGATAAAATCAACCCCCAAAAAACGGGGTTATATATAAATTCCAGATCCACTTAAATTCCGTTTCCATTTACAACATATATATACGAATGCCTTGGTTTTTCTATTTTTAAATCGATAGATAAAAAATGATTCTTTTGATAATTATAAATATTGGTACTGTAAACTGCCGTATACAAGACCCGATCTGTTTCATTTTACCTATTTTGAAACCTATTAATAGACCCGCGGCTCTCTCGTATAGGTACGAGTCTAGTAATCGGAGTTAATGATACGTAGCTTAATTGCTGACTATTAGTATTTATTTATATTTGTATACCCAGATTTTTTACATTTTACCAAAACTTTATCTCATGTTATAGACCGAGGGGATACTGAAAGTGGAAGGTACCGAGTAAATTATAATAGTGAGTACTGGGGAGTTTGGGTGAACTCTACAATGGCAAGGTAGAGACAGTGATGTAGCCTACCCGTAAAGGTATAGAACCTAGTCGATGAATAGCTATTCAAAACCTGAATAATATATGTCGGGGATAATGCTGAAACAAGATGATGCTGAAACGTGGGGTCTCAATTTAGAAATATAAACCCTACTAAAATCCACCTATACTTTTTTATTATAAACACTAGCC